AGCTCTGCTTGCAGTCCTGAAAGGGAAGATAACTGTAAGAGAAGTATCATAAGAATTTGACAGTGTAGGTCCTTCACATGTTCCTTATTGGGTCTCTGAACTAATGTCCTTTGGAGAGGGACATGAAAGTACTGGAAGCAGTGCAGAGGTGATGCTTGCTTTTTGTCTCATGTTCCAGCAGTGTTTCTACCCAGCACCACGTTTTGCTGTTGAGAATTTAGACCTGCAGTTGGTGCTGGGTGAGAAGCTCACAAATTTTCGTGCAGAAGAACCTTAGAAAGACAGAAACATTATGCCAGACACTCTCTTTCCACAATCAAAAAGATACTCCTAGCACTAGTGAGAAATTAAACACTTCGTCACTGTGAGAGAACAGAAAGTCTAGCCACCTCTAGTAAGATTTAATAAATGTTTTAGCATTCTGTCAGTTTATAATCAGGCTGATTCCAAATAAGATGATGATGTTAATTTTGAATATATATTTAATTAAATTGCATGACAGTCACCCTCACCCCTCAGTGCTACTGGAACTTACTGAAGCATCAAATCTGCCCCTCTTCTTTTTGTACAACATAGTGCTTTCACTATTGTAACTGTCCTTTTTATTCACCTAAAACTACTTTGTCTTCAGCTCAGTGCTGGCTGAGCTCTTGAGGGTAGTGTGACCTTAGAAGGCGTGTTCAGCATCACATCCAAGAGAAAAGGGGAGCTCTAGCTTGTCGAGAGAGCTGCTGATTTATCAAAGAAGCCTAAGAATTTGAATTACACAAATTAGTGGGTAATTTTTAAATGTTATTATCACTCGGTGTAATTTGATCGTTGTCAGAGATGACAGCTACAGAGGGAGGAAGACGTTTTCTACCCTCTCTCTTTTTAAAATCTGTAAGAGATTAAGTTGAACATAGCTCAAATAATTTCGATCTTGCAATGTAAAGCTCCTGGCTTTGAGTAGGATGATTCCTTCTTTTCAAAAAGATGGAAATTCCTTGTGTTTTCTACTCGTCTTCTGGTTCTGCCTGTATATGTGTCCAGTTTCTCCCATATTATTAGCATAAATCAGAGATATCAGAGGAGCCTACGGTATGTTTGCACAGTTCCCTCATTATTATAATGCAGTTTTACACCCCAAGAACTGAAAACATTTTAGCAGCAGGAAGATATTAAGATCTTATATGCGTTTCTATCAACAGGAAAACTGAAATGCATGGGGTAGAGATAACTAAATAAGTGATGTGTGTAGAAAGAAAAAAAATTAAAATCAATCCAGTCACAGAAATCGTATTTCTTTTTGGCTGTGGTCCAATGTATCCATTTATTTCCCAATCTTGTGAACTTCTAATTTATGTATAATAAACATAGGAGTTTATGAAGCTGTATTATACAGCTGAAGGCAACTATAGTGCACGAATAGTAAAATGAAGCAGAGAAAAAATAAAAGGAAAATGACACGCAGTGCTGCCTCCTGCAAAGCTGTACAGAGCAGCATAGCAAAATGTAGCCCAGTTGAGGCCCCTTCTTACAAGTAATTAGAATTTTCTGCTGTTAGTATTTGGGCTCAGTGTGGATTTGTGGCATTCTGCTGGCTTTGGTAAAGACTTTCTGGAGATTTGACAGCGGAAAATGCCACAGTCGAAATTTACATCCGGTATGCGTTTGTAATGTGAACATTTCAACTTCTGTTTTTTCCGTGGAGGTTTAAAGTTGAGTGTGTGAACCAGACATCTGTAGTGACGTCTTAATCAGATTGTGAGGATTAAGCTTCTTAATAATGAAATATTGTCCTGGACGTGCAGTTATGTTCTGATATTACTTTAGAAATTTTAGCAGACAAAACCTGTACTCACAGAGCAGTATTCAACAGAGATTCTTAAAATAAGAAAAAAATACATTCCATAAAAAGCTGAGATGTGGCTTAAAAAATCCTTATACAGATCATCTTCACATGTTGCAAGGAGTTAAAGTGCTCTATGAACATTTGAAGCATCATTAGAATTGTGAGGTCTCCCAAGTAAAATGTGGATGTTAGGAGATCTAATATTTTTTTCATCTCTGTGTAATAGCACTGATAAATTTTGTATCAGCCTGAAAGTGGATGAAGACTTTCAAATTCAAATGTCAGTTTTTCAGCTATGTTGAATGCTGCAGAAGGAAGGGAGGTTGTCTCACGATAGTTAGCAGAGAGGAATTGATCCAAATTTCCTGAACAATACGAGCTGCATGCACTTGCTGTGTACATATGCCGACTTACATATGTTCAAGATGAAGATTTTAAAAGGTTATGTCATCCGCAGCCCTGTCACCTGTATCAATTTACTTCTTAACATGATTGCCATCTTTATAATAAAATATATTGTACTAGATTTCATCAAATGCAGTTGCGCAGATTTCAGAAATCTGTATGTAGACTGCTGTTGACTATATTGCACTAATGCTTCCTTTTCATGTGTGGATATTAACCTGCTCAGTAAAAAAGTAAACTTAGCAAATCAACGCGTGGAACAGTAAGACAGAAATTAATTCAGGCTTTAACCTTGTGGTGGGTTGACCTTGGCTGGACACCACGTGCCCACCAAGCTGCTCTTATCACTCCCCCTCCTCAGCTGGACAGGGGAGAGAAAATACAACGAAAGGCTCGTGGGTCGAGATAAGGACAGGGGGAGATCACTCACCAGTTACTATCACAGGCAGAACAGACTCGACTCAGGGAAACTAATTTTATTTATTGCCAAACAAATCGGAGTAGGGTAATGAAAAATAAAACCAAATCTTAAAACACCTTCCCCACCCCTCCCTTCTTCCCAGGCTTAACTTCACTCCCGATTTTCTCTTAACTCCTCTCCCCGAGTGGCGCAGGAGGACGGGGAATGGAGGTTATGGTCAGTTCATCACACATTGTCTCTGCCACTCCTTCCTCCTCACACTCTTGCCCTGCTCCACCGTGGGGTCCTTCTCATGGAAGACAGTTCCCCACAAACTTCTCTAACGTGAGTCCTTCCCATGGGCTGCAGCTCTTCATGAACTACCCCAGCGTGGGTCCTTCCCATGAGGTGCAGTCCTTCAGGAACAAACTGCTCCAGTGTGGGTCACCCAAGGGGTCACAAGCCCTGCCAGCAAACCTGCTCCAGCATTGGCTCCTCTCTCCACTTGTCTACAGGTCCTGCCAGGAGCCTGCTCCAGCGCGGCCTCCCCACAGGGTCACAGCCTCCTTCGGGCATCCGCCTGCTCTGGCGTGGGGTCCTCCATTGGCTGCAGATGGATATCTGCTCCACTGTGGGCCTCCATGGGCTGCAGGGGCACAGCCTGCCTTACCAGGGTCTGCTCCATGGGCTGCAGGGGAATCTCTGCTCCAGCAGCTGGAGCACCTCCTCCCCTTTTTCTGCACTGACCTTGGCGTCTGCAGAGTTATTTCCTTCACATATTCTCGCTCCTCTCTCTGGCTGCTGTTCTGCAGCAGTTTTTTCCCATTCTTAACTATGTTATCCCAGAGGCGCTACCACCATCGCTGATAGACTTGGCCTTGGCCAGTGGTGGGTCCATCTTGGAGCCAAGTAGCACTGGCTCTATTGGATGTGGGGGAAGCTTCTGGGAGCTTCTCACAGAAGCCACCCCTGTAGCCCCCTGCTACCAAAACCTTGCCACGCAAACCCAGTACAAGCCTCAAATGGGTGTATAGCTGTGTGTCTTTCACTGTGTTCAGCTACCAGGGCTCATAGCTGAGGACTGTTGCGTAAAAGTTCAGCTTCTGTCTGTCCCCATGACTTTACACAAAGGGGTGGTGTTGTGTGCAGCCTTTAGGGACCATACCTGATATTGCCGAGTCCTAACTGCAGGTTGCTGTAGTAGGTCAGGTTAAATGTAGGCTGGTCATACGTATGTCTCGCTAGTCAACTTGAACCGTAGACATATCTTGATAACCTCTGAGATGTTTCAAATGGAAGTTGTAGATGCTGATACTCTGTCAGGGATGCTCTCCACTGAATGGCTGTCTGCATTCCATGTTAAAATAAGTGTCCTGAGTAGACTTGATGTGCAGTGGAGGGGGCCATGTGGGTTTCAGCATAGAGTTTCAAAGGCTGTTGATAACACTGAACAGATTGCATCAAAGAGAGGATCGCAGATGAGCTTTCTGCATAGTAGGAAAGGCTTCTGTTTGTCCTCTCGGCTTGTGAATCCCAGAGCTGGTGGGATCCTAAGGTACACTTCAGTAATCAGTTGTGGGCATAATTTCTCTGAAATACAGGCAAGTCTCACTTGCCACATTGACTGGACCCCCTGTCTGAATTTCTCCAGGTCATCTAAATGTCTCTGTTTTGCTTCAGTCGGTCTTAGCCAAGTGTAGTCAGTTGTCTGGATGCACAGCAGGACCTCAGACGTGGCAGCCTGGCTCTGCTCCCTGCCTGCGTGGTAGAAGCTGGGGTGGAACTCAGCGAGAGCCGGGGTGAAGTCCGGGGGCAGAGGAGCTGTTGAGAGAAAACAGCTTGAGGTCCTTTGGTAGCAGAAGATATGAGACCACTGAGCTCTGGTTCTGTCTGTCACCTGCCGGTGTCCAGAAGCGAGCTGACAAAGCCCTGTGGCCAAAGATGTCGGCCAACTGACATTGCTGAAAGAGTTCCAGAAGAGAAAGGATCATTGATGAGATCCAGATCGACAAGGGGGAAGACAGGGATAGGATATCAGTTATGCTTTGTTCTGCTTCCTTGTTGCTTAGCTCATCTGAAATAGAAAGTTAGAAATATGGCAACGACTTGGAAGTCGTCAGAACAGCGAGTTGCAAGGAGGGCCTGCTGAGCCACCTGTGCCAAGACTCAGTGCTTCAGCTATAGCGTTCCTATATATGCCTTTTTTCTCCAATTTTTTTTTTTCCCCATGCAGTAATTCTTACATCTTATGTATGTATTTTCATGGATTGTATCAGTGAGGTGTACATGCATTCTGCTGGATAAAAATATGTGATGTAAAACGTGCATTTTGACAAGTAATATTCTGCATTGTTTATGCAGGTACAGAAGGCTTGGGATTTAGCATTACTTCAAGAGATGTCCCAATTGGTGGCTCTGCTCCAATTTATGTGAAAAACATCCTTCCGAGAGGTGCAGCCATTCAAGATGGGCGACTGAAAGCTGGAGACCGGTTAATTGAGGTGATGAAGTGTTACGTGTTGTTTGCCTGTGTTTTGGCATGAGCCCACGCACTAGTTCACTTCCAAAGGCTCTTAGTAGTTTATGTTATAGGGTAATGTTACCCATGTTTCACCCTTTTTTTCCTGGGTGTTTGTTTTGGTTTTGGTTTTTTTGGCTTTGTTTTTTTTTTAGGTAACAGATCAAGTGCTGTGCGTTTTCAGTACAGAGCTGTTTTAAGCGCTGGACCCTGATATACAATGAGAACAAGAGTTTATATGTCCTTATTTGAACATAGTGTCATAGTCTTTTACATTGCTGTTTCGGAATAAGTTGAAGCAAAGTGATTGTTACCGAAGAAGCAACATTAAATCAGCATGGAGCAACGGACCAAAAATTGTTGAAGTTGTTGCCGTGTACGGAAGACAATACCCTGGAAAGGTTTTGTGAGTTAACTGAAAGGGACAATGTAAGAGGAGGACAATGCTCCGGAGAATCAAGGCCACTTCCCTCCTGAAGGGACCATGTCCTCAAGGGAATTAAATTCCGCTTAGATAGGCACACAGCAGAGATCTTCCTGCAAATCTGCCTGGAGTGATATGTTACCACCCACAGCTCTTCATTACGGTCCCTAAGCCAAATGACACAGGAGGTACAGCTGAGACTGAGCGCCTCTCAGTGCCCGAACTGCGCTTGACTGCAGAAATTGGCAAAGTCAGCCTGAATTGTTGCTGGACGATAGCCCTCCATAATTACTGTCATTGCTGAACGTAATGCAAGGCAGCCAGGTGACTTGGGTAGAAGGGGGCTGAGAAGCATTTAGGAGGACAGCTATGGCATCTCAGCTGTGTGAGCTGTGGTCTCTTCTGAGGGGAAGGAAAAAGACGGTTTGCTGACTACTTCTGAGTACCACGCTCACTTGCTTAACACCGTTGGCTGATTTGCCTTACGTTTCCAAAATGTTTCTGAACATGCAAGCCTAGGAATACCCTGTCTTTCTCTGGGTTCTCCCTTACTGAAGTTAGCTCACCGAGTGGGAGATTTATCTATATGTATTCCATACCTGTCTGTACTGGTAAGTGGCATGTGAAGGCCAAGGGCTTGGACCACTGAACAAAGGCGAAACAAAGAGTAACTGCTCCAAAGTTATTTGGGGGGGAAAAATATTTTCTATTTCTGAGACAATTTACTGTGCAAGATATATTTGGAAGATATGTAGAACACCAAGGCATGTGGAAACAGAATCAGCTTTGGATCACACATTGATTTTGTCAAGGGATATTTATGCAGAAATTCATGTAAAAAATGTTGGTAGATGGGCTTAGTTGGCTTTAGAGTATACAGTTGCTGCTAAAGAAGAGGGAAATATTGCTGTCTTGCTTCTTTTTTTATATCCGTATGTAAAGAGTGCATGTTTAATTAGTTCTATTAAATGGAAACTGTGCTGAGCCAATAAGCAGATTGCTCCAGTGAGGTTTTTTTAATACTGTCCCATATGATTCGTGTGATGTTTCAGTATGAATTTCTACTGCTTTTCCTGTTTTTGAGTCTTACAGATTTCTAATATTTCCTTTGTCACAGGTAAATGGAGTTGATTTAACAGGAAAAACTCAAGAAGAAGTTGTGTCCTTGCTGCGAAGCACCAAGATGGGAGGGACCGTCGGCCTTCTGATTTTTCGACAGGAAGAAACATTCCATCCAAGGGAACTGGTGCGTAAAATAGAGAGCAGCTAAGAGATTTAGATGAGTATGAGCAAATGATTTGATCTTGTCACCTGCTAGTAAACTTGCATGGCCAGCACTGAATATAAGAAAAAACCCCAGCTGTTTTGCTTTATGTAGAACATTTTCCATGAATGTTTTTTATTCTCTGCAAGATCTGCTATTGGAATTAAATATTTGTTAATAATGTATAAGTGAGAGTTTTATTTTGGGTGCAAACATTTATTATAGAAGAAGCTATGGGATGGATGTTATTTGGATGCATGCAGACAAGTAGATTATTTCATATCTTTCATATGGACGAATCTATGTTTGAAAGCCTGCCATTTGTCCCACTACCTGCTCACTAAAATATTTCAGAACATATAATACTATGCCAAAACAGGATATGTAAATACTTTTCTATCAAAAAGTGGAATATATAAGGAATAGTAGCCTTTTTTGAATATAAATGCAATCTCTGTGGAATGGAAACCCTGCAGTTATTAATTTAGCAGGGTAATTCAGAAAATGTTTCTGAGGAATTTACATGAAATGGAAATAAAATGATGTTTCATACTGTACCTGCTCCACTTGCATAGTGTATACAGATATTTGATAATTATTCAAGATAATTTCTGTTATGAAAAGGTAGACTGTGAATGTAGCAGTCTTACTTTGTTCTGTATTCAACTAAACTGCTGAAGTTATTTATTATTTGTATTATCATAGCTATATATAGCTCTAAAAATAACTTATTTGGCTGCGTTATTGTGAGAAGATAGGCAAGATAAGTGACAAATATAAGTACAATGAATTGATTGCTTCATTTTTCTGTTGAATTTGTATTATTTGGAATGCAAAGAGAATGAATTTTTGTGTGGCCATTTCAAGGTATTTAACATTAGCCTTTTACTTTTCAAAACTACAATAAAACCTAGAAAGTCAAAGTGGCAGGGAAGGTTGCAAACGAAGCACACTTTTACCTTAATATTCTTGGAACATGACTTCAGATACCAAAGTGAAAGTTGTCATAAAATGAAGAGAAATGAACAATTTGAAATCATACTGTGCCCTACCTGATTACTGGAACTATGAAAACAGTCTGTTTATAAGTTCCTATGATGTAATTTTCACAGTATTGCTATTTTACATGAAAGTGGATGAAAATGCTTTTTAAGCTCTCTAAATAAACTAAGAAGTAAGAAAATGTATTAATTTTGTGTATATTATTTCTGTAGTAAAATGAGGAAGTTCTAATGCAGAATTTAACAAGATATTTTGTTGAAATATAAAAAAATGACATGAGTAATGCAGAAATTTAATAGTAATGCTTGAAGTAGTTTTAGTAATAACAGCAAATCAGCCCCTTGAGATGAGTTCGACCTCCGCAGCCTCCGTGCTGCTGCTCAGGTGATCCTCTCCCAGCTGGGCTGGCGAACACCAGCACAGGGAAGCCAGATCCCGTCGTGGCTGTGTCGGGCCGTAGGTGGGCTCTGCGCTGTGTGGTCAGAGATCAGATCGGAACTGGTGAACGTTTCTGTAGCTCCCGCTGAGCGAATGATATTGTGAGGATCTGACAGTACGTGTGTGTGATGATCCTCTGTTGCATAAGAATTTGTTTGTTTGCATTTTGATGTGAAGCACTGGTGGGTGTGCTCTTCGGACAGCTGTCAAAAAGCAGGAACAGAATTTCTGGGGAAGGTGTTGTACAAAAACCCATCATCAGGGCTGTTCTTTCTTCTCTGGTAAGAAATAATCCTAAAAGAGAAAAAAAAAAGTCTTTTCATCCAGCTCCTCTCATTGACTTTTGCTAGCTTTATGTACCAAAAAAAAAAAAAATTAATATGAAGGAGGGAGGGGAATGGTCTGAAATCACATCAATTCATTTTTTTCACATGCAAACCTTTTTTTGTCATTTAGGAACAATTTGTCTTTGCATCCTTCCCCTGTTTCTGTCATACTTTCTACATTTTGTATGCTTTAGATATTAACTGAATGAGATGTGTCTCAGAAATCATATGCATAAAACCATGTTATTTGATATTATCCATCTCATAAAGGACTTGTTGTTGCTTGCTGAGGAGCACTCAGTATTAAAACCATTTTATATTTGCCAACATTTGTACGGATAGTAACCCCAATAAAAGAGGTGTTTAGATTTTATGTTTTGGGTTATGGCTTGTTGAATGACTTTTGAAAAGTTACTTATCCTTGGGTTTCTTAAATAAGTAAGGTGAAGGTTATAAACTTTCAGGAGAGTTGTGGAGTTTAATGTCTTTGATGTATGTTGCTGTTATTGTCTGGAAGGGACCTACAAAAATGTGTAGTTGTATGTAAAACTTACGGGAACGTTAAGCTGAGCCTGTTTAGGTTAGCATGGGATCTTAGCAGCTTGTGTGGCCAGGTCGGAGGCGGGGGGGGGTGATGGAGAGCCTTCTTCCAGTGCAGCAGATCATGACATAAATGAGTAAAACGTGGAAGCAGAGAATAAAAGCAAACTGGCAGGAGTTATCTTTTCCAACCAGTGAGATCTAGAAGAATAATTATGCTTCTCCAGAGTAATCATGCTTCTCCAGAATACCAGGCATTTCATTGCTTCCAGAGTTACCTAATGCTAGACAGGTGATACACGAGGGCTTGTCCGCATCAGTGTGAGAGGCGGGTTGTCTCTTAAAAATCTTCCCTCCCTGCTCCCTGCCTTTATGAAATGGGAGAGGATTACTCTATTCAAGTAGAGCTCCTGTTGTGCTGTGGTTACCTCACATAACCAAACGTAACTTGCTGTGAAGAATTTTCTCAGAGCCGGCTGCTATGTGAATCCACTGAGGGATTGACTTGCGCCATTTAGCTTTTGAGCTAAATTCTCAGTATCCACAGAGACTGCCTGGCAGCGTTAGTCTCCTGTACCCTACAAATAATACGCACATTGGTACATGCAGGTTCTTTATATGTTCCTGGTAGTTGGCTCATTCATCTTTCTTTTTTTTTATTTTTTAAATTTTTTGTTGGCTGCAGGTTAAAGCTAATTGGATGTTTGTGCTGCTAGTTTGCTGCTCCATTTTTGTGCTTAATCATTTGAATCTCCTACAAAACAACCCAAAGCAAAGAAATCCAGGAAAGCCCAGCATTTCCTTTTGGCCCAGCTGAGTGGCATGAAGGAGCTGGGTAGCGCGAGTGATCAGCCAGCCAGCAGCAAGGCGGCTCCTGGGGTTTTAATAGGGCTGGATGTGGTCTTGGAAGAGTAGTAGTTCCGTGCGTGTGTTCCCAGAGTTTGTTGGGGGATGCAGGAAGGTTTTCCAATGATGTGTGTTTGCCTTACATGCCCTGAGACACAGCTGAGAAATGCAAGGTACAGGAGGGTCCCATCTGTGGTGGACTGAAAGCACCCTCCTGTCCGGGGATACCCAGCGCTGTAGTTCTGGCTCATCCAAACACACTCAAATGGGGAATCCCTTGTCAAAATGAGAACAGGTGTTTTAAAAAATAGGTACTGGTTTAAAATATTTGGAAGGGTTTGTCTGGACTGCTGAGGTCATTCTTTGAAATCTTCAAAGCAGAAGGGAAAGGCCAGGGGAGAACATCCCTGAACGAGAGCATTCCACCCGCCAGAAACGGGTGCAAGCAGCTGCGATTCTTCCTTGGCCAGATAGCCACCTCCCTTGTAGCCAGATAAAGTAAGGTGTGCTGGCCTGTGATCACTGAAGGTTGTTTTTGTTCACCTCTCATTTAGGGCTTGTTTAGACAAATTTGAATTGGGTGTGATGAACACCCTTCGTTTTTCCATTACCACTTCACGTCAGAATTAGAGCTCTTTGTTTATCTCCCTGCTGATAGATAGTATATGTCGTGTGTAGTCGTGTTCTTATTTATTTTTTTTACTTCCTTTAGAATGCAGAACAAAGCCAGTCACAAATTCCAAAGGAAACGGTAAGAGCTTTGTCTTTTCCATACTGGAAGACTCCCAAATGTTTTTAAATTGATATGGCACTTCTCCATCAAAGTTTCACAGACCCTCCTTTCACCTTATATACTGTAGATGGCTCTCTCTAGCTTTACATTTTAAATGCATTTTTAAATGTAATTTCAAATGATGTTTGAATATTATATACAATTCAGTTATTATGCATCTTCAAGTGCTATTTGAAATTACATCTTTTGTACACAGCCAAAGGCCTAAAGTTGGAATGATAAGAGTAGACTCTTAGCTTGGGTTACTTGTTGAAATTAATTGTTTAAATTGTGATTATATGACTGAAACCTGAGATGCAATCACAGAAATTAGGCAGTATGGATTTAAGTCTCAATTGCATCTTCATAGCAAACCGCTGTTTGTTAGTTATTTTTAAGAAACTATAGGGAAGTAGTACCACCTTTAACCCTTTGAAGGCTGTACGAGGTTTGTATGCGATGTGTCAGTGAGGCTGTATATTGACGTTGTATGCTGTTTATATACCTCATTTTAGTCAGTGGAACAGGATCAGTCTTAATACACGTTCTACTAATATAAAGTTTTTCTAAAATAACAGGTTTATTTTATGAAATATTATCAGAGGATATAACAATAATATTACCTTAAAGGTATACTGTGTCGTAGTTAAAAATGTATTTCAGGAAGCTCCATCCAATTAGGTACCTGTTTCAAAATTAAATAATAAATTAGATTATGGAGAAATTAGGAGGAGTCATGCTGGGATTTGAAATTAGTTAGGTGGCTGAAAGACAGAAGAAGCTTGTCTGGATGATTCAGAATGCCTTCCCAGCAATGGCGAGATGGCGTCTGGGATAAAAAGAAAATCAAGACTAGATAAAGAGATGTAAGAGCCATCTCAGTGAGACAGGCAAAGGTCCTTTGGTTGATACCGTGAATGTGTCAGGCCAATGCAATGTGACTGCTAGGATGGGCATTGGGGTTGAGTGTAGCTATATTCGCTTTTATCCCTCTGGCTTTTGGTGTTCTTCTCGTCTGAAAGCCGTCTGCAAAAGGGCTCTGCAAATTCGTGGGTGTATCGTTGCTTCAGACGTGTCTTGCAGTATCTTTTTAGTACATCTCATCAGAGCTTGTATATTTTATCTTCATAGTTTCTTACCACGTACTACTGATGTGTAAGGAGATCAAAGATCAAAGCCCAGGACAGTATTTCTGCCTGTAATTGAATACAATTGAGAATAATTTGTGAGTGCAGCCTTAGAAAAGTGTCCTGGTTTTGGGAGTTGAAATTCTGCCCCAAAACCTCAGTAAGATCAGGCAGATTGCCTACAAGGTGTTTATATGAATCGGTGGCTCATCTCTTGCAAAGTTAAAGTTTTGTAGCAAATTCCATGGTGAAATCCTTTCTCTGCCATTTTTGGGAGCAACATCCTGACTTCATCTAAGGGAAGACCAAAAGAAAAGAAGTATCTCTCATTTGTTGCCTACAGATGTGAGCTAAACATTGCTGCTTAACCAGGGGATTATGCAGGAGGGACAGGGAGTGTATGAGTAGCTAGGGATTTCAGAGAACCCAGCCAGAAAGCCCTAGCAAGCCTTGGAAATAAGGAAGCCGACTGGGAGACACGTGGAGACAGATTTGGTTAGGGAGGGAACGAAGCTAGAAAGCTGGCCAATACGAAAATGTTTTTGCATAACGTCGTGGATTTTTCATTTGTTATGGGGTGGGATTTTTTTTGTTATTTACTTGAAAGTGGTCAATAGTAGGAATGATAGGTCTCTTTAAAATTGCCTACTCCTGGGTGTAAATAAAAAATGGACTAAACTTAAAAGGTGTCAGTGAGTATTTATAATGCACTATGTTTTTGCACTTACCTCCCTCCTTCTTTGCCTTGGATGTGTGATACTCCAGCTCTACAGAAACAATTTTCTTCAGCTGCACATTAATAATACAGTCACACACTTTTTTTTATTATTATTTTTGAAAGTATTTTTCATTGCTTTCCTTTATTCTCCTTGGTTCTGCCTCAATTTCTATTTATTCCTCCTCTCTGCTTTTCAGGTCTTTGAGATTTCTAATCTTGCAATTTCTGTTTCTGTGCCTGCTCTGATCTTTGTGCTGTTAGTTGTGAGGTTTAGTCTCCAAGTGTCAAGGACTTGATAGTAGAAAGCAAAGCAAAAAAAACCCAAAAAAAGCGTGATGAAAGCAGTGAAGCTATAGAAATGAGAGAGAGGCAAAATACAAGTCTGTTTTTAATTTAAAGTCAGAATGGTTGTGGAGTTGTTCTGTTGTTATGTCTTTGTGGGGAAATAGAAGAAAAATGCATCTTTGAAATTAAAAAAGGGAAAAAGCCTTGAAAATGGAAGGCCTGAAATAAAATTTGTATGTAGACCCCAAAATATAAAGCCCAATTTATCAACACATTATTAACACTCAGGGCTTACGTTCATGTAACAGTTACTTTGAAATGGTTTACACTCATATTGTGGCACTTGACTGCAGTAGTTAGAGTCTTCATAGATGTAATAAAAGAAAACCTTGAAAATTAGTTTTTTCTTCATTTATTTGTGGCCTGAAATCCTCGAGAAAGTTATTTTGTACTGCCCATATAGGAAAGCATATGACTTCAGATTTTGCACACCATTGCAGAAGATAGATTCTCTTATTGTCATTCTTGAACTTTCATACGAGGAGTTGTTAACTCGCTAGGCTCGCAGAATTTAAGCTTTGCTCTCCAGTTATCCATAAGAAATGCAAATTGCTAACACAACTTCAGCTTCTCTCCAGTAACTGGGCCCTGGTGAAAACAGTACTGCTGGTTTTACCGTTCTGTTTTGCTGATGAGCGGAACAGGCTCTCCGTTTACTCCTGAAGCAAGGAGATCTCCTGTATCTTGGTTGAAAGATTGTTTCACCCAGCGGTGAGTTTGTGCCATTTGTGTAGCTGCTGACAGCGTGGAACAGATGCACCTATTTCTAAACATGGTGATTATTTGGAATGTAGGAGATTGACCGTAATATGAAAACTAGCAATTTATCATTATTGCATTTCTGTTTCTAAGCATAATTATCTTAATCTTGTTACAGAGCATTGAAATGAACTGTTAATTATGCTATGTAAAACATCTGCCAATTAATTTTTTCCTCATACTCTTTGAAAGTCAATAGTGTTTCAGTAATATTTTGCTTTTACAATTGTCATTCACTGTTTGTTTTCTGAATTCAGAACTGGCAAGTTAACTTTCATGTAAGCATAATGCTAGAAAAATAATAATTACCATATAAGTAAGTATTTTCTGGGGAGTGTTGGGGTGTTATCTGTTGGTAAAAGGAGATTCAAAGTTAGGATTCAGGATTTCATTTCATCATTGTTGCACTCAGCAGCATGGGAAAGCTTCAGTTTTAGAATCATAGAATCATAGAAAGTTTTGGGTTGGAAGGGACCCCTTGAGGTCATCTAGTCTGACCCCCCTGCAGCGAGCAGGGACACCACTAAGTAGATCAGGTTGCGCAGAGCCCTGTCCAACCTGGTCTTGAATGTTTCCAGGGATGGGGCCTCCACTACCTCTCTGGGCAACCCGTTCCAGTGTTTCACAACCCTCATTGTAAAGAATTTCTTCCTTATATCCAGCCTAAACCTACCCTCTTTTAGTTTAAAACCATTACCCCTTGTCCTGTGACTGCTGTCTCTACTAAAAAGATTGTCCCCATCTTTCCTATAGGCTCCCTTTAAGTACTGAAAGGCTGCAATCAGGTCTCCCCGCAGCCTTCTCTTCTCCAGGCTGAACAAGCCCAACTCTCTCAGCCTGTCCTCATAGGAGAGGTGCTCCAGCCCTCGGATCATTTTTGTAGCCCTCCTTTGGACCCGCTCCAACAGTTCCATGTCCTTCTTGTGCTGAGGGCTCCAGAGCTGAACGCAGTACTCCAGGTGAGGTCTCACCAGAGCAGAGTAGAGGGGCAGAATCACCTCTCTCGACCTGCTGGCCACGCTTCTCCTGATGCAGCCCAGGACACGGTTGGCCCTCTGGGCTGCCAGCGCACATTGCCGGCTCATGTCCAGCCTTTCGTCTATCAGTACCCCCAAGTCCCTCTCAGCAGAGCTCCTCTCGATCCTTTCATCCCCCAGCCTGTATTGATACCGGGGATTA